GCAGCACAGCACAGCACAGCACAGCACAGCACAGCACAGCACAGCACAGCACAGCACAGCACAGCACAGCACAGCACAGCACAGCACAGCACAGCACAGCACAGCACAGCACAGCACAGCACAGCACAGCACAGCACAGCACAGCACAGCACAGCACAGCACAGTTTGGTTATCGAAACATGTACTAACCTCAAAGTTTCTGCGAATGGATTTCCTCTTTCGTCCAAAGCTTCTAAAGTAAACTTCTAAAATGCCTGTTCCATGAACGCTTTTACCATATGTATATCTACAGAAGTAAGATGATATCCAGCATTGGTAAAGCAATATGCACACACATATTTGTCTCTGCTAGCATGGAAATGATTTAAGTTAACGAAATGGCATTTATAACAAATTGAGAAAATTGGTACTGTAGAGTACAAACATTAAATGTGTGCAACACTTTCCACTATTTACTACAAAATAGTGTYAATTAAACAATAGAAAACAATAGAATTAGCAKATTTTAGCAGTATTTAGTGGTATTTATGTACATTAAATGTGTGCAACACTTTCCACTATTTACTAAAAATAGTGTYAATTAAACAATAGAAAACAATAGAATTAGCATATTTTAGCAGTATTTAGTGGTATTTATGTTGCACAGTTTTAGTGTTTGTACTCTAGCTTTGTTAAGGTAGATTTATGGAACTAATTTAGATCCTGAGTCATCTCTTTTCAATGTTGAATAACGAAGAACTGATTGCTTACTTAGATGTCACATGACCTGTCAGTTTTGTGTCTTTCTTTAGGACATACGGTGGCAGGGTGATTGAGACTTCAAACTTTGGAAGAACTATATGAAAAGTACGAATGGATTAAGGCATATTCCATATATATAATCATTCATTTACTATTGCAGATACAAGAAAAGATCATACTCTGCAATGTACGTATTTCATTACATCGGTTGCGAGTTCCTATGATAAGTGATCGGCTTCTGCACGTGTTTTATCAAAGTACGTACATGAAGCTATTGCCTAGGAACTACAAATAATCTACGAAACAAGGTGTCTTTATTTAGGAATGAACAGAGTTGATCCTTTACTTACCGTAGTGCTTCACTTCAAAGTTACGATAGGCAGTTTCTCTCTATGAAACCAGACGAACATTAGACATTGTCAAGAACAAATGCAGGAAAACCATGAAATAAAATCAAACTAAATACTAACAAATAGCGACTATTTAGAGACAATTTGTCAGTATTAGTGAACCAGAACGCAATGAAGATGAATCCACATGGGACCATTTTTAATTCATCTTCATTGTGTTCTGGTTCATTGATACTGACAAATTGTCTCTAAATAGTCGCTATTTGTTAGTATTTAGTTTCATTTTATTTAATAGTTTTCCTGCGTTTGCTTTATTCATTCTGAACAATTATTATATATAATGACTAAAAACATGAGTGTTGAGTCAACACAGATTCAGTAATCAGAAGAAATAATAAATCCCTAGACGTTTTAGATCAAACTATCTTATATACATACATTAGCCTTGACAACTATTCGCCAACGTCCCTTTATGGGTTGCGAGGAAAGTGGGAAATCCTTCTTTATGATCCCTACTGGGTTCTGTAAGTCTAMCCACTGAACCATCTTGTTGTTGTTAGGATCCTATAATTCAAAATATTTAAGGTCTTTATCATATAATTATCTATGAAATACCTATATTTCTCCATTTCGTAAAATTGATATTTTCACTAGTGAAAATAACACATTCGAGGTTGATGTAAACACGATGGGAGTTGTAAAACACAAGAGAAGCAAGCTTAGGAACACGAGCCTTTCTCTTGCTTCTCGAGTAAGTGCTTTTTAAGTCCCACCATTTTTMTGCGTTTTTCGAGCGAAAAACAAATTTTGCCGGTAAGCCGTGTCTCTGTCCTYTGTTATAAACACGGTCATCAGCCAATACGCGTTATGTATCAAAAATTTTATAAAATTCTATTTACTTACCAAAATAAAAATTGTCATCTGAAAATGAAGAATAAAGATGATTCCAGTCAGGTACAATAGGAAACTAAGTGTCACTAGTATTTTCCTATCTGGAATACATACCTTCTTTTTGTAGCTGGTWAGGTCCGRGAAAAGTGCGAATACCCTCATGCGAACTAAAAAAAAGTAATTTAACACCTAATATTTTCAATACATTGTTATGACTCTTGAACTCAGTTATAACAAATACTTGAGCTCCTTCACTTAGCAATCCTACTTCTGTCCGAGAGTTTTGGAAATTGCTAACAATTTGCGCGATCAGATTTGGCAACATTTCCACCGCATTTACAGCTCACTAAATTGTTTAACAGATAACCAGTCATACCAGTTTGTCCAGGTTTATATATTCCTTTATCTGTYTGCACATAGATTGACATCTTCTTTTGACGTACTTGTATACGAGWATGTCTGTTGAATCGTAGACTACCAGAAGAATGGCCTTTAGCAAAGAATGAACAAACCCTTGTACAGGGTATTGCACTGGGTATCTAAAATAAAAGACATTATTGAGTTTCATAACTTTCATATCTTCAAGTGTGATTAAAAGAGGACTATACGGCTAAAAGTTTTCTTCTTTGTGCATTTTAAAGCACAGCGACACACGAAACCTTTTAATAGGCTCAAAATTGAAATCTTATTAATCTAAGCAAGTGAATCTACCTTTATATTCAGTTCTCCAGTTGAGCCTGAAATAACAACATTAAACATAAATCGATTGACGATAGAGCAACATGTCTGCGCGAGTTAGGATCGGTTGTTTAGAAGCTAAACGTTAACTCATGTTGGTTAATTTTGCATGTTGATTGGTACGTAGAGGGGTAGGTAGGTTGGTAGGTTTAGTTGGCTGGCTGGCTGGTTGGGTGGGTGGGTGGGTGGGTGGGTTTGTGTGTGAGTAGTTGGGTGGTTGGCTGCCTGCCTGGTTGGTTGGTTGGTTGGTGGGGTGGATGGATGGGTGGTTAGGTGGTTGGGTAGTTAGGTGGTTTGTTGCGTGGGTGGGTGGGTGGTTTGTTGGTTGGTTGGATGCCTGGTTGGTTGGTTGGTTGGTTGGTTGGTTGGTTGGTTGGTTGGTTGGTTGGTTGGTTGCATTGGTTGGTTGATGGATGGGCGAGTGGGTAGGTGGTTGGTTAGGTGGCTGGGTGGGTGGTTAGGTGGTCAGTTGTGTGGGTGGGTGGATGAGTGAGTGGGTGGGTGGTTGGCTGGTTAGGTAATAAATAAACTTACCTGGCTGAAAGGATCCATTTTTGCTCGCAATAAGCTTTTTGTTATTGACGTCCATGATTCCTGCCTTCACATCAACAGGTCCTGATGTWTTCAAAATGGTAACCTTGACTTTGAGGATTTGTCCCGGTGTAATGATATTTGGAGCCAAAATTATATACGAACTGAAAGGAAGATGATGCAAACACTGGTAAGAATTACTATCCTTAGGGCAAGTGACCTGCTGCACGCGAGAACGGCCAAACATTATTCAGTTTTCTTTCACTTTTCCACTTCCTAAACATACTTCAGTTGATTAGGGTAAAAGTACACAGGACGTTTTGTAGGGAAAAATAAAAGTCTCTACTTGCAGGGATCAGAATCGGGATCATTGAGATCACTTACACATGGGATCACTTGAATTTTAATGGTGATCGGGGATCAAGTTTGAAAGACAATTTGGGATCATGCTTAAAAATTTAGGCTTGAAACCGAATCACGAGAATACTKCCATACAACGATTTAATGCCAAGTGACTCGCGTTATAGTAAGTTCGTTTATAATTCATGCCCTTTATCGTAAGTCGGTTGAAGCTCAGTTTTGTATCTATTCGAGCATGATTTGYCTGTTTGTTTCACTGTTTTATATGTTGTCATTCGATTCGAGGTCATGACGTCCTCGGGGACCCAGGGGTAATCTTTTATCGTTCTTTTCTAACTCTGCGATTGGTAAACGAATGACAGAATATTACCCCTGGGTTCCCGAGGATGAGGTCATCATAGATCACGACATGTATGTCATATGGTTGAGTCTCGAAGGGCATTAGCGATATTATGTCACCAGTGGAGCGTTTGAAATTATTATCTCACTAATTTTGTTTTATCTTAACAMTATTACATTATTTCACGGGTTTTTGTCCTCATTCAAGTATATGACTTATATAGTTACAACGTTATTACTTTTTTAAGCGCTTTGCATATTGCACATTTAATGGTCATATACTTCTTGCTACAATAATGTTGGATACATAAGGAGTTGATGTACGTAATGAGCTTCAGAATTCACGAATAGTAAGAAATGACTTCGTTTAATGTCGTTGTTCTACACAAAGCGTGCATATAAAGGCAAACACACGCCCGAACAGAAATACACGAAGATACATGCATAGCCATCACTTTAGAAAACTGAGTTCTGCGGTGAATCGTATCTGGGAAACTCTATTGTAAAAACATTGCGTGATCTTTCTAGATTATACAAAGGAATAATGCTGATACAACACTGATTTTTACACTTAATCAAAGATTTTGATTAATTTTCGTGAAAGAAAAAAACAAATTTTAGTCCAATGCAAAATTAAGAACTGTGGTCTCTGCAGAAACTAAATGCAGAATAAAGAACCATAAGTCGAGACAAAATTAGCGTGTGGCAAATTGCTTCAGAATTTCGGCAATAAAACTGTATAGAATGAAAATATTTTTGAGATACCATTTATAATTGAAGCCTGTCCAAGAACGTTAGAAACATACCTATTGCGGTTTCCTGAGCACCTTTCCATCATTACGATTTCCACAACGAAGAAAAAAAGCAAACTTATGACCTTCATGTTTTGTTTTGTTTTTTCTCTCTCTCTCTCTCTCTCTTGGGATCTGCACAAAACAAAGCTGTTATGTTCAATAAAGAAACCTTCAATCTTCAACAGCAGGATTTGGTTGTTGTAAAGTAACTCTTGAAGGACTTACAAAATCATAGTCTTGACAAAGAAGTACTTACTGAGTATAATGAAGATGACGGCAACACTGTAGTCTTTTGACCATTAAAGGACTGTGCTTGTTGATATATCAAATAACGACTTCTATATATATAACATATAGTTTATAATAGTTTTTTATTGTTAGATAATTCATTTTTTGAGTGGTTATATAGCGTGACTCAGCAGATACAACACACGCCGATCGCGACAGCATGAAATAATATAGGAAATATAAAAATAGGAATTATAGTAAGGTTTCATTTCGTCATATTTAAATGAGTCAGAATAAACTTGTTGTGCTCGTCCGTTTGTTTTTATCAAAAAGGAAGAGAAAGCTGACAATGTACTTTTATTGAAATAGGTTGCCATGGAGAATGAAAAGATTAAAAATAAATCTTAATTTTAATTTTAGATTTGAGCAACCAATAAGATTCTCTGTTAATTTGTCGACAACTTGATAATTCATTCTTATAAATATAATGTACTAATTTACTTAGTTTCTCTGTATATTTTTCTTCAAAGCATGTCATAGATCCTAAGCTAAGATCAATAATTTCTTATTATCAGACTTTTGTATATCACTTATATTCATAAATCAAACAATAACGTTGAGTATTGTCACGCCTTTCTGAATCGTGTCACAAACTGGAACTACGCAAGTCCCTTTATATTCGTCGACGTCACTTTACTAAAACCTTGTCGACTGAGACATGGCCGGTGTCCGGATCGATGGCGAACTTGCCACCTTGCTCCTTCCCAGGATACACCGCAGTCGCACTGAGGTTTGCAGTCACAGTCATGCGCCATGCCTTTACATGTGTGGATACTTTTTCCTGAGCCAGTGCTCTCGGAGACCTGCTCCGTGTGTAGGAGTTTATCGAAATATGGCACGTGATCGTTAGCATTGATGACGTCAATACGAACTTCAACCAACGAGAACAGCCCATTAGGGATCTGCTCAGGTGCTTTGACTTTAAGGTTGAAGACCGTTTGGTCACATTCAAAGTCGAGCAAGGAGTTCACCACATTGTTACCGTTCTCAAGTGCTTTGGACTTATCCCCTGTGTTGCCTTCGGTGCTAGTGTAGCTAAGTCGTGCTCTAGAGATACTGCGAGCCTTGACGGTCCCGACGACGGCCAAGTTTAACATCCTCTGAGACTTTAAATCTGTAACTCACTCGAGAAAACCTTGGAGAAATCTGCCCAGACTTTGACGCGTCAAGATTCAGTGCAATGGGAGTACTCCTAAGCCTTGGAATACCATAATCGAAGGCCTGGATAGGCATTTTTTTAACGCTTATCACCTATCGGACCTGCTACTTGTAGCTAGTTGTTTTGTTTTGGGATTAATTTGGAAAGGGGACTGGGGAAGAAGTGCATTCGTTTCCGGTTTATCAAGTCGGTGTCCCCAATCCCACTGGATCCTCCATCGTCGTCTTCTGCGTTCAACTGGTACACCTTTGCGCCTGCTCGTGAGTTGGTATTTACCTATAGGCGAACCGTGACTTAGTGGTAAAATAAGGCGCGTTATATTTGTTAACATCCAGCACCGTGGTTTCCACATTCTGAAGGTGGCACAGACAACAACAACAAAACAACAAAACAACAACAACAACAACAACAACAACAACAACAAAAACAACAACAACAACAACAACAACAACAAAACAACAACAACAACAACAAAACAAAAAAACAACAAAACAACAACAACAAAACAACAAAACAACAACAACAACAACAACAACAACAACAGCAAAACAGCAACAACAACAAAAAAAACAACAACAACAACAGCAAAACAGCAACAACAAAAAAACAAAAAAAACAACAACAACAAAAAAACAAAAAAACAAAAAAACAACAACAACAAAACAACAAAAAAACAACAACAAAACAACAACAACAACAGCAAAACAGCAACAACAACAAAACAACAACAACAACAACAACAACAGCAAAACAGCAACAACAACAAAACAAAAAAAACAACAACAACAACAAAACAAAAAAACAAAAAAACAACAACAACAAAACAACAAAACAACAACAACAAAACAACAAAACAACAACAACAAAACAACAAAACAACAACAACAAAACAACAAAACAACAACAACAAAGAGAAAACAGCGAGGTTCCGTTGGAAAAGAACGCATGTGGTTACTCCTAATTTCATTTGCATATGTGAAAGTTGGGACTTTCATATTTCAATGAATTTTGATATGGAGAACAATAAGTTAAATTGTTTATTTCGCTCATTCACTTTTGTCACTTATTGAGTATTGGTGTAACACTAGGTGTGCTAGCAAAAGCAAATATTTTTTCCCTGCTGGATAGTAATTAGTTGACAATGAAATGGAAAAAAATGCATGATCATAAAGAGTAAAAAAAAAGAAAAAAGCATGAAATAGTACTAAATTTAAATACATTCTTAGTATAAATGCAAAATGGTGCACTTTGATTGGCTCTCCATCTCGGATTATCAGTCGATAATCACCCTTTTCGTCAAAATTGCTACCGGGTAGTCATTTTGTTACTGTTAGTGAGGAAGAGATTGACAAACGATGAAACTTTTTATTGTCATCATCTTAGCTTAGCATTTTTACATGATTATAAAGTAAGTGGAGCTTGGTACGTGCACCGGGCCGATGTTCTCTTATATCGTATCCAGTTACTCTTTAAATAAATACTGATTACCATTCATTACAAAATGAAAGCTGTATTATATAGTGTATCGCTTCTTATTCTAAGTATAGTTTACAACATGAGCGGCCGTGTTGTATGGGAATTACAATCTCGAGCCGCAGRCKMGAGATTGTAATTCCCATACAACACGGACGCGAATGTTGTAAACGACTTATAAAACTCCAACACAAATTAACATRAATTACAGTGARATAAATGAMGAAAAATGACAAATAAGGTAACTGCTGAGTTTAGTCYCTATTAAGCATGCGCAATTTACTGCAACACAGAACATTTTGAATAATTATCCATCCCACATGGAAAGCAAGCCATCTGTTGCATAAGCSAGTTCTGTTATCCGTCTTTGATTGCTTCAAAACCTAGTGAAGGTCTATGATGCGACACTAAAACTGAGACCTTTGCTAGTGTTGGGTTGTCTCAAGGTGACGACCGTGTTGTAAATCTTATACAACACTAGTGTTGTATCACAGTGTTGTATSTGATTTACAAGKTCAATCACCTGATGAAATGGACAACCCTTATTGGAGTAATAGCTCATGCATTATTAATAAGTTTTATAAGTGCACACAAAGTGCGTGAGGACTGTAGAAATTGATAGTATACTAGTCTAGTCTATGTGAATTGATATCAATCCCATCCTGTAGAGTTAGCGGTAAATGGCTCAGTGTCCCTTTCTGAAATGATAATAAAGGAAAGTTATAACGATAAATTTTGCTTCATGTCTATTTAGTACAATTGTAATTGTAAAAGTTTATCTCGTTTTTACGTTACCTTACAGTAAGCAAGAAGCAAATTGTCCGTTTTCTGTTTTGCACCATGAGCTAAGGCTATGCTTGTTTTTTATGCATACATAGTACCATCTATCATGGTGCTTGAAGGGGAAGTGACAACATTCCTTGCGCTTGTGATTACCGTGGCCTAGTTCGGCCTCTACCTGGCATTCTATGAGGAATAAATTTGGCGATTATTGTTTATTTTTATTCATAATTAATAAAAGGTAATGGTTAATAATAGATATTGGAATATTTTCTTACAATAATACCACAGATAAAGTTTATGTTAATAGTTCTGCGCGCAGTTTCAAATGAGCTTGTACTAAAATTGTGCAGGTTCAAAAGTTACCAGGTCAACACTGATGCAAAGAGAACAAAGAACTGCTGTAGTAATAGGTTTCATAATCAGATCCCTCGTCTAACTATGTTTATATCAGGTCACTCAATCTCGTAGCTGACAAGGCCTAATAACACAGGAATCCCACTCACTGCATTTCTTTTCAAGATGTCCCCATGAAACAAGTTTCCCGTCGCATTCTTCAGATGCTGACTTGATGGCCTCACAACTGCTGTCTTTCATGGTTGCCACGGTTTCTGCACACACATCGTATACACAGTCATGGTACAACCGCTCCAAATCCTTGCCGCTGCTCCTACAGTTGGCGAAATGATGTGACTTGATGACTCCACAGTCTTTGAGAGCCACTGGACGCCGATGGGGCTTCTTCTCGCAAGGATGCTGTGGAGTTTGTGGTGCTCCACATTTTCCTCCAGCTCTAAAAGGGTATCCATTAACGCCATCATTGTTTGGATTGCCGTCGAAGTTTCCACAAAGACCACAAACCCGATTCAGAAATACAATTTCATTCACAAAGCTCAATTCAACGTTCCAAAAATGCGAGTACTTTCTTTCATTTTAAGTACTACTTGTCAATGGACTGCAAGTATACGAAAACGGTGTTGTGCAAAAGATATTCATGATATATAACTTAATATTCTTATTTCAATATAAAAATATATACACAAGAATATAGAGTGTTTACACTATGTCCATGAAATAAAATCTAAATAGTTACTACCTAATAGATCTTGTTTAATGACTGTTAGTCATTGTCATTCAACTGGAACAGTCTTAGTAACAACACATTTTGTACACTTGGAAAATCGAATGCAAAGGAAACAATACCTCATTACACCTGTTCCAGCTGAGTGATAGCAACTTATAGTCACTAAATAAGAACTATTAAGTAATGCCCCGAGTAAGAACTAGGGAAGCAAACGGCAAAGGAATGCAAGAAGGTGCTAATTGTGCATTGTAYAATCCATCCATCCCATTGGTTAAAACATGAAAATCTGCTATAATTTTACAAGTTAGCGCAATTTATAATATTTTATTTGATGTCTGTTTTCACTTTCATGAAAGCTTTCTTTTGCTTCAATATCAAGGCAAATCTTCGTGAGGAACATTGCAAATTAGAAGCATCTTTTGGCTATTGTTTTGAGTGCTTATGATTGGATAAGAGCTTTTAATACAAAAGAAACTTTGTTTCAAAATAGAGTTTATCCACATTTCAAAAATGTGTTACCCATATGTTAGAGTGTATGTCATAAATGTGTGAAACAATAGCGTAACTATTTTTTGGGCGTATCGGTATTAAGTTGCATAGCTGCTAACTTCGTAGTTATTTTCTTCATATAAGAATTGATTCAGGCGTAAAAACAAAGACACAAAGAAATGTCCTTTGATTTCTTTGTGTCTTTGGTTTTACGCCTGAATCAATTCTTATATGAAGAAAATAACTACGAAGTTAGCAGCTATGCAACTTAATACCGATACGCCCAAAAAATAGTTACGCTATTGTTTCACACATTTATGACATGCACTCTAATATATAATCAGTGTGAAAACCAAGACATTCGTACGTGGGAAAGTTGCAATGCCGCAGAACAATAGAGAGTTCCCTAGTTCTTAAGCGCATTGTTACTTAAAGTATTAACTATTTAGATTTTATTTCATGTTAAATAGTGTAAGAATTCTAATAAAACGTGACGTACGGGGACACGTGTTACCTGAAAGCGCCTAACACTTTTTCAAATCAAAGAACCTTTCAAGCAAGTCATACCTTTCCTCTGAATCGTTCATCGAGATAGATCCACAGACCATGAACCTTGTTCCATTTAACGGTGAGTCCAGAGGGAATCGTTCTCACTACCACATAGGCGCCCTCGATCGTCACCGTGTACTCCGGTCTGTACTTAGGGGCTGGTGAATTCGACAGGTACGACAGATGAACTGTTTCGCCTGAGAAAACAAATAGTTTGTTTGGATGATTTGTTGTTGCCACAGTTAAATTTACTATTTTTATAGAACACAACGCTGCTCAACTCGGGGAAAAGAAACAAGACAACGACATAACAAACTAGTTTCACATTTCTTTGTGAGTGCCATTAAACCAACCTCCAATTATGACATCAACAGAATTCACACAAGACACTGGGCTGGGAACATTAATTCTTGCGCAGTTTCCGGTATTGGCGATGACTTTGAAGTGGCCCAACCTTGATTTGCCGCCATCTTTCTTTGGGCAGTAGTCTGTTACGTGCACGTATCGACAATGGCCCATGAAGTTGAAGTACTTGTTGTCAAATGTCTTGTAGTGTGGGTCACCCACTGCATAGCAATGATCTGGATGGAATAGAATTGACGATTAAGTACTGCAATAAAGGCAGTGCTATCATGGAAATGAATGGATATATGCACTATCATTTAGGCAGGGTTAGCTGAATTACGCAAGCAACTTTCATTGGACTGTGAGCCTGTAATGCAAGCTGTATTTTCCTCATAACAAATGTAGCGATTCACATGGTGCAATAGAAGATGTTAAACACAGCAAAGTACTTACGCTGCAACGTTCTCTTGACAAAGATTTCGTTCGCTGAACTGGCCTTGAATGAAAAGAGATAGTTAGAGGCATTACAAACTTAATTTACATTAACTGCATATTAGTAGCTTATATTAAAAAAAGTCGATACTTGAAGCTTTCAAGTAACTATTAAATCCTTGACGTTTTACCTCTACAAAGGCTAGAAGAACTGCGAGACAGACAAGAACTATGCAATTCATCTTCTCGATATCTGTAAAAAAATACAAATAGTATTATTTTATACAACATTATTGTGAAGTAAACGTACCAAACAAACAACAACAGAGGTATAACATCAAGCAAGAAATTAAACAAACAAATTCAAGAGAATGTTTCTCCAATGCAAAACAGCAGCCTTACCTAGCTTGGAGATCTCGTCTTTAGTTTTTGTAGCTCTGTCCTAACTCTGATGAAGATGCTGAGTTTTGTGAACATTTTGCAGTATTTATACTTATTGAGTCCCAAGAGATATCCCATCATGGACATAATTTGGTCCAGATGACTGCCGAAGCTAGCGTTCAGACAAGACGTACTTATCAATAAGAAGTGTACTTTATTAATAATTGTCAACAGCTATATCAGTGGCGTCGCGTGGTCATTCTTACAAGATACGCGCGTGTACGATGAAAAAACTCTGCAAAAAATAACGTTTTGCTTCTCCCTAGTAGGTTTCATGAAATATTGACCATTTTAAATGTACGCAGGTGAGAAATTGTGTTAAGGACGCTATAGTCCTGTATGATCTTAAGGGCATAATTTGCTCCAGATCATTGCAAAAGTTAAGCTAGCGTTAAAATAAAGCGAATATAGAAGAAAGCGTACACAGGCGCGTATAGCGTGGCATTTTTGGCTAGTACGCGAATGTCAGGGAGCGTGATACGTGTTATGGACTGGGGGCGGGAGTATTAAGAGAGGTATTGGGGTCCTCCCCAGGAAATTTTGAAATAATAACTCTTGGAAATGCGATTTACAGTGTTTTGAGGTTCTTTTTGAAAACGAAGCCTTAGTGCGAGAGATCAAGTAAAGATAATTGTATAAAAAAGCTTAATATTTCCTTGCCACTAATACGCACGTGCGTATATGCGTAAAGGACGCTACGCGCCTGATACAAGCTGTAGTTTATTTGTAGTTGGGTATTTTCTTCACGAAGCCGATATTATACTAGACAATGGCACATGAACTTCTACCACACGAACTTGATTACTTTTTCTTGAGACTAGATCGCCATACTTTGAAATCACGAAATCAGATCTGTACAAGTTTATAGAGGTTAAACTAGACTATCTTACGTGTTGCTGTCCGGCGTCGTTTGCTTTGATAGGTTATGCGAGATTACGCTCACTTAAACCAAGGCGTCACGACGCCGAGTGATCATAACTAGAAAATCAACAAGCGTTCAAAGTGATTCGCATTTCGAAAACCGCTCGCATATAGGCTATACAAGAAGAACATTAACAAGAGAACGAAAATGATAATTACCAGATACTTTCATTGAGATGAGCAATACTTTGTAATAATTGCAAGTTTAAGCTAGTTTATATGGAAGTTGCAAGTACTCCTAGCTTGCGTGCTGTTTGTCGTTGTTTGCTTCGAGCAGATTATTCTCATTCGCTTATAAACCAACCGTTACGACGCCGAGTGTTCATAACTAGAAAATCAACAAGCGTTCAAAGTTATACGCAAAAGTAGTGTTTATAGTACACAAAAGATGTGTATTCGAGCCCATCCCAGGTGTTGCCATCTCATGTTCAAGTCTTCATCTACGTCTTTTTACCCGTCAATTTCAGGAGTTTTCATGGTCGCTTTCGTCCATTTAAGGGAAACCATTTTTAAAAAAATGCGTCATCTTTCTCGATTATACAAAGGAATAATGCTGATACAACACTGATTTTTACACTTTACCAAAGGGTTTGATTAATTTTCGTGAAAGAAAAAAGCAAATTTTAGTCATGCAAAATTAAGAACTGTTGTATTCTGCAGAAACTAAATGCAGAATAAAGAACCATAAGTCGAGACAAAATCAGCGTGTGGCAAATTGCTTCAGAATTTCGGCTAAAACTGTATAGTATGAAAATATTTTTAAGATACCATTTATGATTGAAGCCTGTCCAAGAACGTTAGAAACATACCTATTGCGGTTTCCTGAGCACCTTTCCATCATTACGATTTCCACAACGAAGAAAAAAAGCAAACTTATGACCTTCATGTTTTGTTTTGTTTTGTTTTGTTTTGTTTTGTTTTGTTTTGTTTTGTTTTGTTTTGTTTTGTTTTGTTTTGTTTTGTTTTGTTTTGTTTTTTGTTTTTTGTTTTTTTCTTCTCTCTCTCTCTCTCTCTTGGATTTGCAAAAAAAACCCAAAGATGTTAGAAACCTTCAATCTTAATTCAACAGCAGGATTTGGTTGTTGTAAAGTAACTCTTGAAGGACTAAATCATATTCTTGGACAGAAGTGGCTTATTGAGTATAATGAAGAGATGTTGGCAACACTGTAGTCTTTTGACCATTAAAGGACTGTGCTTTTTTGTCAATATTAAACGACTTCTATATACATGTATATATAACATGTAGTTTATAATACTGAGTTTTTTATTGTTAGAAAATTCATTTTTTCAGTGGTTATATAGCGTGACACATTTTACGCCGATCGCGACAGCATGAAATATAGGAAACTATATAAAAATAGAGGAATTATGGTCGCACGGGAAAGGTTTCCAGCTTTCCTCATAATTAAATGAGTCAGAATAAACTTTATCAAAAAAGAAAGAGAAAGCTGGCAATGTATTTTTATTGAAATAGGTTGCCATGGAGAATGAAAAGATTAAAATAAATTTTAGGTAATTTTTAGTCGACAACTTGATAATTCATTCCTATAAATGTACTAATTTTTTTAAGTTTCTCTGAATATTTATCTCTCTAAGCACTGCATAGATCCTAAGATTAATAATTTCTAATTATTAAACTTTTGTATWTCACTTAATATATTCATAAATCGAACAATAAAGTTGAGTATTGTCACGCCGTTCCGAATCGTGTCACGAAATTGAAGTACACAAGTCTCTTTATATTTTTCCTCGACGTCACTTTACTTTTGTCTAAAATAACGTGCTCCATCTTGGATTTGACGAGGCTGACGGGGAGGTCCTGGGATCGAAGATTGTAGGAGACTGAAGATCTGTGGCTCTGTGACTAAATTCCACAGATGTCATTTGTAATCTGGGTGTGGCGCGATTGCGCSACAACACACGGGGACAAAAAGAGCTGATATGGCAAGGTTTTGAAAAAACTCGGAGAATTTCTCATATTCTATTTGTTTGTTATTCGTATTCTAATAAGTAGTTCCGAACTGGTTCAATTCGTGATGGCTTTATCATAACAACTCCTGCAAATGTTTCAAAATATATAAATGGGTTTATTTACAATATTGTTTTCTATGTTACAAGTACACATGAAAAGAGTGACGCTAAACCACTATATTTCAATCCAATAAATTCGGCTCGTACATTATATYTTCGTACGTGAATTATCGTATATACAATTACATTTTTCGCGACCAAAGCAGTAAATAAAAATGTACTTTTGAAGCCGTAAATTGCAGCAAATAACAGCTAAATATTAAGTATGTTCTAAATTAATTTCTCAGTACAAAAAAATTAATCAAACGTACAACCTGAGAAATAGTTCGCAGTAGCACATTGGTAGAGAACAGTAACCATAAATAGTTTGATATCTTTGAATCTGCGTTCGTTGCGGTWCTAGTTGGCTAGTATTTGTTTCATGGATYCASAGCGCACATTCKATATCAATGCGTCTTAAAATCTTTCTTCAGTTCATAAAGTAAATATTTGAGCCGCTTATAGCGCAATGTTCAGCAAGGCGATGACTAAGCTGTTTTTGGTAGTCACAAAATGACTATCTTTTCTAGTATTCCCAAGTTGTACGCMAAGCTATAATAACGTTCAAAAATATCTATTGGACCATGACACTATTCTACATAGCCAAGATGATTAGCGTTAAGCAAAGAGGGTGATTTTCAGTCAGTCATTTAGTCTATATAAATTTCAGTTTGCGACATCAAGCTGATTCCACGCAAGTGGATGCATGTTTTCCGCGGTCAGGATTCCATACTTTTCCTTTATTCATCCGTGCAAGTCGTAATCCAAGCTYTGTAAATAAGATGTTTTCTAGATCTCTTCATTTTTTTTTTTGTCGTCTTCAGTATGATTCATTTTTTCTTGTTTTTTGGTGTTGTTTTCTTCTTTTGTTGTTTTTGATTTTTATATTTTTTTCGTTTTTTCTTGCATAAAACTATAATTTGCAGTCTTTTCTGGAAGCAGAGTTATAATAGTGAGATAGACTACGTCTATCAGAATTTTCTATATGAGTTATATGTTACCCTTTTATGGACAGTCCACCTCCTTTGGCACTAAAACTGAGAGCCGATGCTGTCATTGTGTTAAAATAATTCGATACTTTTTCATACTTCTTTTTAAAACTGTCCCTTTCTTTCAATGTTCTGGTCAGCTCATCTCTGAGTTTTTTCAGCTCTTTGTTCAGTTTTTCATTTTCTTTTGAAAGTTCTTCATTTTCTGTCACTCGTCTATGCCGACAGCTCAAGGCATATCCCCGATTCTTTAAACTCCGTCTTCTCTTTCTAATGGCCTGTATTTGAGGTTTTGTGAGTTCAAGATGGCGAATCTTCTGGTTAAGATCTCTCACAGACATRCTTTCAAGATCGTCATCTGAAATTGGTAGTTTCTTCTTCGATAGATTCAACTCTTGGTTGATTTTCTTAGAGCTGGTAGTGTCATTCTCGATTGATGTTTGGATTTGGGTTTCGAGGCCGACATAATTATCGAGCCATGCGTCGTTCTGCAAACAAGTGAAGTCTTGAACACTAAAGTCGACATTCTGCGGGTCGGCAATAAATGGATCGTTTGAAACATCTATTTCTTCCATGTTCACATTGAGGTCCATTGTACGAGTTGCTCTGGTTGTTCTCTTCTATCGTCTTTACCCAGTTTCTACGTTCGTAGTCTAGGGAAGTGTACTGTGTATATCGCTAACCAATCAGAAKGGAGAATAAGGGGGGTTTCCCTCGGGGATTCCCCTCCTTTAACAATCATCAGCCTCGTGTCGCATTGAACAAAAACTTTTATTTTAAAAAAATTGTTACATTTCAACGTTAAACTGTACAAAATCTGATCATAAACTTATAAAAATATAAAATCGTATTAAAACATTTTACAAGTAGTTTCCATAGCACTTTTTTCAATTTCATTTTCGTTAACCAAGGTTCCATTGATCTTTCCAGGCGACCGAAGAAGGGAAATTTCCCTAATTAATATTCATCGAGAGATGTAACGCAATATATTGTAGCAGGTCATAACATGTACAACTTCGATTGGTTTTTACACCGTTTTACTTTTAATATAAAAATACAGTATATGATTGCAAAATCCTGGAATTTGTCCAAAAATATTTCCTTAGTTTTTTCCTTATTTGTTCTTGTTCTTCCGTGTGTGATTGAATGATTAAATTAGACAGAGAAACGTCATTTCGTTATTCTAGAACTCTCCGGCTTCAATAGGTACTTTGGCAAGGAATTTCCAAAGCAGAGTTAGGGAAATTTCCCTTTCAATCTTTGGGAATTTTATCAARTCTCTGGATACATCCCCGGATACATTCTGCAATTCTTGTAACTGAATTCTGAAGATTTTTTCCCTTACTATTTTAAAGTTTAAAACAGTAAATATCTCTGATAGATATGAATATATCTAGAAAATTGGCATAACCTCACTGTAGGTATAYATGCTGAAGGATAATACGAACGCTGTTTTCCGGGTCTTCTTTGTTTAGCCCCCTGTGCCGAAACATAGAAGAAGGGAAATTTCCCTAATTATATATGCAGTCACGCAATCTATACCTCCAATTTCGTATTTCTTTGTAATTTTCGAATTGCGGGGATTAATAAACTTAAAATGTTTAAAATGAAAGATTTTATGAGGATCAATGACATTGACGCTTATTTTCAGTATTGTTTTTGCATTTTGCTTTCAGTTTATTTTGATTTAGGGAAATTTCCCTTTGATAAAATTTGAATCTACGTAATTAAATCTTACGAGCGGCTTCCTTTATATTGAATTAATGYCAGCATTAGAAAAAAATGTCGCTATGACGAAAACAAATATTAAAATTAAACTATGCATATCTTGCTTGGACTCCCTGTGCCTTTTTTTCACATCATACCGCTGGACACATGTAAACTCTGGGCTCGGTTCTCTGTCTGCCTCATATCGAGGCTTCAGACAATGGCGGCAAATCCGAATAGAGGAACATATTTGTCAAAACTTTGCTATATATCTGTTTCTTCCAGACGAATAAAAAGATTCCGCCGTTAAGGTGAAGGAAGAAATATATGGAATCGTTTTAATTGRCTCGAAGGCGAAAACTCGATGGATTTTCATGGCTATTTTAACTTGCCTCTCGAGGATCAAAGATTTGCGGACACCTGGACTAACAGACGCTCTTTCTTATCTTTAGCAAACGAAGTCTCGAATTATTTACGATGGCAAGATATTACTATGAGACAAGACATTAAGCCTGCAAAGATCTGCAGTGTTGCTCTAAGAATTCTGACCCAAATTGGTTCAAATTCCGTGTAAAAACTTGGCATTTTCTTTGTCATATAAAATGGAGTATTAAGCTTTATTATTATAGTGAGCATATAGCCAAGGACATCTTCTGATTCACAATGTCAACGATATGAATAGAGTGAGAAAAGATACGATTGAACTTTCCCAATAGTTTGTGTAMTGCTGGTAGCAGATGAATTTCTTGCAAAGCTACTAGTGCTTTGTGTGATTGTCGCTMTGTATGCCAAGTTAACTACATGTACAAGAAGTCAAAGCTAGGACAGATAGTAAGGATTATAAGAGCCGGCACGGTTTAAGATAACTGCAACATGAGTTTTCACAGTATGAGTTGATAAAAGACACTGCATTGATGTCCTGGTCTGTGTTGCTCAAAGCATGATGGTTACTCCTTGGTTCTCTAAGCTTTCAACAGCCAGATTCTGAGGATCAGGTCTTCTAGGGATCAAGATGGAGCATACCCCAGATGATGYRATGTTCAAGCTGCTAGATTAATTATGCATCACATTTGGCATCTAAAAAGGTATTTTTGCWTTTCAAATTTGCAATTATTTGTATTTTCAGTTTAAATAACTCAATTTGGGAAARATTTGATTATGAAAAATGTTAAAAACAGTTCATTCAAAAGTATGATTGTGAATATTAAGTGCAAATGGAGATGTTTCTGGAAGGAATTCATAGCATTATTAAACAGAAAATAGCTTATAATAGGGATTGTGCGACAAATTAAGAGGGGAGGGGAGAGGAGGGGAGTGGAGGGGAGGGGAGGGGATATATGTAATACTGTACCTGAATGGGTACATATTTTAATGAATTTAAATGAATTTAATACATTTTAACATTTGTTCAGGACAAGCTTTGGTCTCATCTAGTATAGGGTTGCGATTTAGTATTAGCCAGAGTCTAATTTAGTCTTTGAGACTCAAACAGTCACTGCATTTCTGTTCCACAAAAAAACAATAGGGCATGGAAAAATAGCAAATATTGCACTATTGAGTATGGGATAGTGAGTTCAATTCTTAAGTTTGATCTGGTGTTCGAAATTTTAGGTCTGGAATGGGGTCAGACATCATTGTACCTTATCTAAGCTGTGGTTTAAGTTGCACATCTCCCCCAACCCAAACAAAAAAACATTTGAAAAATCATTTTTTCTATCCTCTACCCTCCTTTTTATAATAAAGAGGGCAACATTTCCACCTTAGGGCTTAAAAAATGAATATAACCATTTGGATACTCAACATGTTGTCAGATCTCCTTATTTATTTTATTYTATTTTATTTATTTTATTTTATTTATTTTATTTTATTTTTTATCCTTGCAAAACAGGATAATTTAATATTTGGAAATTACTCAAATTGCCGAAAGCAATGCATTGCGATTTTAGGAAATATTAAGTTACTAAAAATTTCAATCAATTCTGAATCGTTTAAATCAAGTGAAGACACTCGAACTCGAACGAGGAACGAGGTGAACGCTTTTAAAAGTTTTTTAAAGTTAAATGGTTACAAATAAAAACAAAAGATTTTTTCACGGGTTTTTCTATTGTATTGCTGTAAATGCAATTGCTAATTATAGACTGAAGGTTTAATAACCGTGAAACAAGATSAAATAGCAGCGCCAATGACGATTGCCGATCACTAATTGTAATCTAATTGTAATAAGGACACAATGGAGACCACAACTGGGATGTCATATGTCATAATATAAAACTTAAAACTTAAGAGCAAAAATTCGGTTTTMGCCGTATTTAAAAACGTTTAATTTTTGCACACAATTATATATTTTTGACCCATATATCGTCAATAGTAATAATCTACATCTTTTATGTCCGTAATTGATAAAAAGGAGTCGGTAAAAGTGACACAATAATTTCTTAGCTTCTTGATCGACAAAAAAGTAATTGTTTTAAAACTGATATGAAAATGGTGATAAGTCTTTGTACATCGATCCATAATCGACAATTAAACACTATTTAYTATAGTACTTGAGACAAAAACATGACGTTTGAGCACCTGAATAGGATTAAGACTAGTTCGCGATGCTACAAAACTTGTTTGGTATTAACACCTTCAATAGAACGACCCCCTGGTCGTACTACAAGTGAGGTTTTCCCATTACATATCGACTGTTTTCTGTTCTYTATATTTATCTTCAAAAGTGATAAAATACTTTCAAAAACAAACGATTGAAATAGCCAACTGTTTTTCTTGTTTTTCGATTCTCGTCCTGCCATTGATCAAATGGGGTTTATTTAGAAATGCCACCGGTTGTTTGGTGGGGACAGGTAAGGCTGTGATGGTCTCCAATTTTATCAGCGGATTTCTAATGAATTTTTTATTCGCTCAAAGGAAATTCGACCACCGATGTTCCTTCTTTGAACTCAATTAATATTGAATGAGTTAATCTTTTGTGTAGCAAGGATCTACCAAGTGAACAATCTTTGTGTGTTTCTAAGGAAAATCTATGGCTCTCTCATGACATAAATTAGTGTTTTCCGCTTTTAATTGGGCTCTAAAACACAGGAAAAAACGGATCTGGTGAAAATAAGGACATCGAGTGAGCCAGGTAGGAAAAACTGGACCTTCTTTACAAGGAAGAAATTTGTTGTTTATAATAACTAAATAGCAGTGATTGAAAATTGCTTAAATTTCTTCCTTGTAGAGAAATACTTTATTATCTTACTAAAGAAGGTCTTTTTCTTAAAAATTACGTTGAAAAAGGCTTTCTTTATATAGTGATAGCGGCKTTCAAATCAAACAATGTTACAGCAGTAGTTAAATCTGAGTGATTGATATAAACGAAAAACCAGTTGCCCAATTTTCTATTGGGATATCGTTTTTCATTCAATTGTTTAACATATTTCTTTGATTCTATTGATTTTCTCTTCAAGAGTATCAAAGTAACGTTAATAGAATCAGATATTTTCAGTCTAAAAATTCGAATTATGATACAAATCATTTCATCAATTTATGATGAACCAAAAAAAACTTCTATTTGTTAGTGAAAGATTATATAGAAACTACTATGTTTCCTTGTAGGGAATAAAGGAAAACATTATGTTTAGTGAATAAGTTGAATTTTGATCTGATGTTCATTGATTATAGCCCACGGATGCCTGTTTTTGTCAAAACATCGTCATCAAACTTCAACTTGAATATCTTAGCTTAAATTTATCCTACTTTACTTCTCGTACTTTTATAGTAAACTGCCTCTCTTGAAAATAATTGTATTCTATATAACCACCAATATCTTTTTCGATTATCGTGGCTTTGATTTTGAAACACAATCAGTTGAATCTCAAAAGTTATTTGAGAAATGTCATGTGAAAGAATTACATACCTCATAACAAAATAATTTTGAAATTTACTTTGATATTAAAAAGTGGATGGGACATAAATTTTATGAGGATTTTGTTATGYAATCCGAGATACTTCGATATTTTTTACGATAAGGAACAGCTCAACCGTGATATCATCAAATAGCTTGAACAAATTTTTTTATTACTAGCTTGAAACTTCATTAAATAACGCTAAATACTTTTAAAAATAGTTAGATCACTTTCCATATAGTTRTGTTACCGATATACTAGATTTCTTGCTTTTTTTTAAGTGACAATCAAAGAATCATTACGTCTCATAGATTTCTCAAAACATGTCTCTTCGATAGATGTTACAAAACACATCAAATATTATTTATACTTTTTTATATTATTTCTTATATAGTCAAAAATTGGATCGGTTTTTTGTTGCTTTAGGATTAAGTTATAATGTGAAGTTCTGTTTGTTCWATGTTGGTATATCCTTGATGACTCGGTCAGTACCTGACACGTCGTTTCAATCGTACCACCCTGTAAAAATGAAATTGAGGTCAAGTCGTGTATTCTTGTATTTTTGGTTTCAAATCTTTGTGAAAAGAACACATAAAGATTACAAAGAAAAGCCTATTTTCAATTCCAAACTAAACGTTTGTGTTGTTCTGCGATAAAGCAGGTCTTTCATAGATTCAAAAGTGTACTGAAACACCTCCATTTTTCAGTTAATTTATGCGAATTAAARCCAAAAAAGTTTTCAAAATCCTAACAGTGCTTTCATTTCTGTGCATTTTGCTTTCGATKTTAATACGATATACCATTTTCTATTGAACTTATTAAGTACAAATTATACTTGTTTTGAATTTATCGACATATATTATGTAGAAATCATGGCCCGTGAACGCTATTTGTAAATAAAGTCTGGTTCCTTGAATTCGAGAACAATGTCCGCCTTTATCATGCAAATGACAATTTYTTGCAGGGAATTAAAGTTGAACGACAGAGACATGGTGTTATAGATCTAAAACCCACAATAAACTAAATTTCTTATTGGAAAAATGACAAATTGTGACATAGGGCAATTAAAAATTAGACAGACCACACCCGAGACGTAGTTGGTGACATTGCAATCATATCACCTTTTGAAAGTGTCAGTGAATTTTGTGAAATAAATAACAGTCATTTTAATGTTGAAAATATAAATGCATCAGCTGGTTAAAAAGACGGACACTTTAGCCTCTTGCAAATTTAAGGAACTTGAGAATATTATTTGCAAAAATCAACTTTTTTTATACCTAGTTTTATCGACTTTGGTTGATAAWGGACTGCCATTTTTGATCGATGTGAAACGGCAATGTCTGCAAAACCTAGTACATAAATCGTAGTTTTTGCTCATTAATGCAGCCCAACTATTTGCAACCTAACCTCCTTATCGAATCAGTTTTATCTAAAGCGAAAGTTCCTATTTCAGGTGAAGACAAACCTCTAAGCGAGGTAGTGCCCTCAGCAAGCCATGAGGACTATCCTACCGATACTCCTCGCATTGTTGGTTTCCATACCACATAACAATGCCAAGAACAAAACAAAGAAAAAAGATACAACCAAACCGACGAAAGGTATGAAAACATTGAAAACATCGTAGTTAAAGAAAAGTACGAAAAGTCCTCAAAAACGTCCATCCATTTGCTGAATTATGGAGAACTTCTCACTGAAATTCTAGAGCTTTTTGCATGCGACATGCGTCCATTTTATCACTGTTACTACGATGTATTATTTCTCTTCTATTATAATCTATAATTTTTTCTGTGTTACAATTACAGAACCACTRCAGTTCGTTGGTTGTTTTAAAGACAGTAACCCAAGGGATCTCCCTCAGAGGGTTTTCGAACATGGCGACAGTATAAGGTCGTGYGTGAACACTTGTAAAAGCATGAAGTATCGGTTTGCAGGAATCCAGTTCGCCTACCTGTGTTTCTGTGGCAACCTAAAGGGTCGGTTTGGCCAGCTACCTGATGGTCGATGTGACCGAACATGTCGTGTTAAGAACGAGACGCAGTGTGGAGGGGARTGGGCAAACTCCGTTTACAGAACAGGTGCGAGATACTTAAAA